AGATGGGTAAAGAAGCTATACACTGTATAATCAAGGCAGTGCGTCAAAAGACCAAGACCCAGTGCCGAGTTTCGCTAGATGCTTTGCAATTCCGGAGACTTGATTTCCTCACCTCTGGACTTATTCCTGCACAATAGACTCCTCATCGGGCTCCCATTCCGCAAGGTCTTCGCTTCGAATACGATCCTTCAGCCAGTCAAGGATAGCATCAGTCCCTTTCGCCACGACTTGCCATCGGGGAACCCGAAAGCTGTTGCCTGCTACTTCGAACCTTCTCAGGGGGGAGCCGGTGCCCCAATTCTTGCTGCAACCCTCGGCCCTCAGCAAGCCAAGTTTTGGCGGAAGAAAGCTGATGTTGTTGTTACCAACGTCCAGCACCTGGAGGCCCTGCACAGCCTCGAACTCCAAAGATTGAAACCCATTGTCCGCTGCGAGAAAAGTCATCAATTTCGGATAGACCTGGCGCACAGCAGGAAGAGGCCCCGAAAGGCGGTTGTACGAAACATCCAGGGTCGTCAAACACGGAGCCGTAAGATTGGCTAATATTGGCTCGATGGTTGTCAATCTAGCGGCGCTTAAATTGAGGATTTGGAGATTCGGCAGTGTTAGAGATGTAGAAAGAACGGATGAGCTGTCCAGGGGGTTATTCGAGAGGTCGAGATCTGTCAGGCAGTGTGCTAGCATGCTGAGAGCTGGCACAGGTATGCAGGTCAACGAGTTATGTTGCAGGTACAGGCAGCGTATATCATTGAAGTTGATTCGCTCCAACTGCTTCACGTCCACCTCTGACATTTCTGAATACGATCTATCAAGAACACCCCCCGGCTTGACCTGCCACGACGTCATCTGAGCCGGTGTTTCTGGTGCAAGGGTGAATTGCGTGGCGACCGAGCCTTCGTCATCATCGGTGTCCTGAGGCTCTGGCTCACACCTGTTTCGCAGATCACGCTTGATATCATCTGTATTCATGGTCAAAAATTTTCGTTCTCGCAGTGGGTTGTTGGCTAAGCGAAGGGTGGAAAGATTCTCCATCAATCCAATCCTTTCATCCAATTTGGATATATTGTTTCCCGTGAAGTCAACATTGCGAAGGTTTTGCAGCTCGACAAACCCCTGCGGGATTGCTGAAAGACTATTGTCTTCAGCCGAGAGAGTCAAAAGTGCGCTCCAGGTGCAAATGTTCGGCAAATGCTTAATGCGATTCACACTGATGGACAAGGTTTGAAGGCTAGGCATCTCGAGGTCTTCTCGTTCTGATATCGCTGTCAGCGCGTTGCCGGTTACATCCAAGCTCTGTAACGAGTCAAGCTTCGATAGAGAAGCTGGGATCAGCGTCCCAGTTAACTTGTTCCTGGGGGCTCTGAGATCTTTAAGAGGAAGCATGCCAAGAGACTCAAAAGGGAGAGAGGTCAGTTGATTATCACCAACATCTAGTATCCTAAGGCAAGCCAAATATTCCAGGCTTTTGGGCAGTTCGGTTAGAGAATTGCCGCGCAAGTCCAGAACCTCCAATCTGGTAAGGTTCTTCACGTCTGAGGAGAACGAACCCTCGAAGAGATTGTTTGCTAGCTTCAAATCTTTTAAAGCCTCCATTTGCATGACGATCTGAATGCTTTTCGCGTCCAATTTGTTATTGGATAGGTTCAGAGTGTGAAGTCTTTGCAGTCTTCTGAACCCCATTGGAAGGGTGCGCAGCTGGTTGCCATGAAGATCCATGATTTCCAGTCCAGCAAACTGATTGCCTCGTTCGTCTTTGTCTGAATCGATGTCGAACGGATCGACGTCGGGAAAGGCTGCCTCCGACAGCTCAACAAATTCATTGTCTGCAGCGATGAACTTGACAAGATCGACGCTCTCATACCAATCCGTGGTCGAGTTAGGATCGAAGTCATACATAGCCATGACCTCTTTCGGTATCTCTGTCAATGACATGGCCGCAATGTTCAAATGGCCCGAGATACGCCCTGCTTCCACACGCTTGCGGAGCAACCCACTGTTTGAGTCTTTGGGCTTTTGATTGAAGGGATCTTCAACGTTGAGGTTATCAAAGACATCAACGGAGCCGTTTTGGGAGTTGTTCTGCCTTGCCGATGCTTTGCGCGCGGCTTTCGCCTTAGCAATGCTCTCCCTTAATGCGCTGGATGACTTGGAAGCCTTTCTCATTTCCATTTCCGACTGTTGCTCTATTGAGAGGTCCGGCGCATTCAGCTGGGTTGATGGCTTTCTCGAATTATTTATAGGGCTGGAATTGTTCGCCAGAGATTTCCTTGTCTTTTTCACATGGAGTGGAGGAGGCGGAGGTCCCATGTCTGAAAACGTAGCGTTTGCGGACGTCTTGCCCAGAGCTGGGCGAGGATCTGGAGATTTGCTTGTCGTATCCTTAAACCCGTTATATAAACTTGCTCTTATAGATGGCTTCTTCAAGTTCGAGGGGATGTCGGTACCAGCCAACGATGTTCTCTGGCCGGTAGAAGCGCCGTTTGAAGACAAGCTTGGAGCGGGTGATATCCTAGACCTCGAGGGAAGTTGTATTGCAGAAGCTTGTTGTGAAAGAAAATCATTATCGCTAGGTTGCCGCGTAGTTGATGCCCTCGAAGGTGATCTTGAGGTCATCGCAGATGGTGTCCGAGACGGGGACCGTACCGGGCTGTTGCCATTGAAGAAACTAGATTGCCTGCTCGAGGGGCCAGGTGATGGAGGGATCCGGGATAATGTCTCGATAGTCCGTTCCGATAATGAAGGTCGAGGGCGACCTCGGCGCTCTGCATCTCCCACAGCGGCATCTGTTCCCAGCATGGGGGCTTCTTCCAAGGCGTCTCCCGCGATTTCCGACCGTCCACCATCGCTCAGTCCACTGTTGGAAGTGTCTCTCTTCTGTCGAGGTTTCTCGGGGGTCCTGTACGACAATGGGTACTTTGGAGGAGGCTTCTTGGGAACGGGCTGCTCAGACGGTCTTCGGAGCCTTGTAGCATCAAGACCAGGATCTGCGCGCAACTTTTCACGGGAAGGGGAAGGTTTGATGGATCTGGAAGCGCTGGACGTTGGCAAAGGCAGTCTGGAGGCAGCCAGCCGAGGGATCCCACTCGGTCTAGTTGGTGTTTTCTGTTGCTGGTCCATTTTGCGACCACTCGGTTGCTGTTGTGGTCAATGCAGACAAAAGTTTGAGGGGCATGCGATTGTTGAAATGCGTTAGCGTCACTGATGATATCAGTAAGGACGTCGCATGCTCGACCTGAGAAATTTTGTAGTCGTCCAGAATTGGGAGACAAGAGTCAGAGCAAATTCAGATTAACAAAATCGTGGAAGCTAATAGGCTTTGGTCAGCCTTGTACGCTGTCTAACAATCAATCTTGTCCATATCTCTTTGTTGGCAACATCGATGTTTATTTATTTTACTCCGTACGAAGTACTTTGCTGTACAACCTACTTGGTGCCTGATAATAGTGCCTGAGGCCACTTTCTCCATTCGCCGCCAAAGCAAGTAATCTCCTGGGGTCCCCACTTCGGCATCCCGAGACAGATCCCAGATCCATAAGAGATTCACCCAAGGGTTAGCCTCAGGTACCATTCAAGCGCAGAACTTGAGCCTTCACGTGCCTCTATATCTTGTTGTCTTGTTGTTATCTGTACAGTGTTTATATCTAATCTTTCACTAACCTCTATTAAGTATGATCTAACGGGCTTTATCCTTGTTACCTTGCTCTTTTGGTAAGCAGTCGTCAAGAGATATATAATTTCTTCATTCCGCTGGAGAGGACTTCAGAGCACCACAAAGAGATTTTCTGTCGTATCCGTTAATATGACGCAGCCGACTCGAACAAACAAAGAATTTTCGTCAATGGGACGGCTAGTCCATTTACACACCGGCATACTAGCGTCTGGGCTCTAGGATATTGACATCTTACCGTTGCGGAGATAAAGGAAGATATGTGGTAAGCTATGCCAGTGTTCGAAGAATAATACTCCCCATACAGAGTAGAGAGGTATTAGTGGTTCATATCTTATCAAAATGGCACATTAGGACCCATTTTTGTCTCACTAAGCTACGTCTAGCCTGTTTAATGTGTTTAAGTCTGGCAATTGCCTTGATGCTTCATCGGTAGTCGTAAGGAAGCATATATGCACGGAGTAACGACCAATCCTGCCATTGTACGGAGTACTTTGATTCTTCCGATGACGTCCGCATCATCAATTAGACTTAAGATTCATAGTATCAAGTCCTATCTTAGACCTAGTCTCCGTAACTACGTCAGGTATCGCGTTGCCTGAGTTACGAGGTATGGCCCAGGGAGGTTCAGCTCTTGTTTACCTTTTCCGAACTTGAGTGATCTCCATTCTAGCCTCATTCGGAAAGGGAGGAGTTTTGGCGCGCGGCTGGGCTCACGTGGGTGGAGGCGGGTGGTCATAATTGGTCCAGGCCGGGAGCGTCGCAAGCGACTCTCCCAGCCCCCCCGATGTGCGAAACTCCCGCTTGCGACATCCCGTCCTTTAAGGCATCAAATCGCCTGCACGCCGCGATCCTTGCGTCTAACATCACACATACAATATTGCTTAACCTCTTTCCCAGTCCTTGAGACCCCTTGCTCCTATATCATTCTGCAAAAGATCTGCCAGTTATTCCATATCGGACTTCCTCCACGGGTGTCAGCGACCATACTTGATTAGAACGTGCTTCTACCGGCGCTATCAGTGATAAGACCAACTGCTCATCGCCGAAGACCAGAGTGGGCGTACAATTGTGTCCGTGTCAGCACCTTCGGCAGCTGTCGCCTCTACTTAGACATTCTTACACTTCCATTCTATCCCAAATACAATATCTATCACAACCGACCCGACATATCAGTCGGGTGTTGACGTGCCAAATCAAAGTCCGGTATGTGCTCGTTTGTTGACAACAAGTGATCTAGCCCCACCTGGTTGGGTGATGCTAACACACCTCCAGTGCGAGGGTCTACCCCACGGAGTATATCATATCTCACTTGGAGCGCCACAACTATATCATGTCTCAAGAATCCCAGTTATCGCAGAGCTCACTTGCTCCTCCTTTGGAGCTTCCAGGGCCAGCCACTCCGGGTCGACGGCCAAGTCTCTCTGCTTCACCTGAGCTGGATGAAAAAGTCCAAAGCCAGGTTTCCCAAGCCGATCAGCGCAAGCTCGTCTCCCCCCCTTCATTGGCCTCCTCGGACATGACCCCACCTCCATCTTCACAAGTGCCCGGTGCTCCCTTGCGGCGGTCAAGATCTCGATCGACCACATACCTAGCATCTCCTCCGGATATTGAAAAGACTCTGTGCGCTGCATACGGTGCCTCTGAGAATCTTCCATCTGTCAGTGACATCGACACTGCCGGCGAATCCGAGCTGCGTATAATCGCCAAAGAGCTCCTCAGTGTTGCGCAAGAAGCCCGTATGTCGGCCCTGCATTTCAAACTTCAGAATAGCCTTCTGTCTTTCACAAGTAATGAAGCAATCAAGCGCGCCGAAGTTGAACATCAGTTAGCGAGGCGGGAGGTGGAGATTCTTCAGAGTTCCGAGTACCGAAATAGACATGGTCCGTCCGAGGTGAAGCCACTGCAACCTATCTCGAACGCGGAACTGGAGGCCGCCCTCAAGCGTAATCAAGAGTTGGAGAGAGTCAATGCCACTCTCGATCGCAGATTGCGTCGCGCGAAGAAACTCATCGAGCAGGAGAAAGAAAAGTCCGAGCTGCTCATGGAGGAGAATGATCTGCTGAAGAAGCGGATTAGAGAAAACCGCGAGCATTTCTCTAGGATGATCGAACGTGGTTCCATGTCGCCGAGCCCTCAGATCCAATCCGGCACGCCTCAAAGAAAACCAGTCCCCCACTTCCATGACAGCCCCAGTCCACACATGAGCCGCGGTGAAAGCCATCCGTTTGCTGCTCTTCTTGCTGCAGACAGAGTTCTCAACAGAGGATCTTCTGATTTCCAATCATCTCCACAAAGGTTGCGTCAAAGACAGCATTCTAATGGCCACGTGCGGGGCACACATTCATTGTCTTCGCTCCCCATGACACCGTCGCAGTCTCGGACGACGCCCCGAGAACATCTGTTCTTCACTCCGACCAGAAATACTCAGGATGAGCAGCGTGACCGCGACAGCACGATCTCTGCCTCGGACATTGAAGAAGCCGAGACAGAAGAAGACATTCCAGCCTCTCAAGCTGATTCTCCTGCAACCAGCATGCTTCGTCCCGACCCTGTTATCAGCCAGCAGGAGACTCGAAGTGCGGCAATTGCCCCGAAGACGAGCACATTATTGCAAACAAAATTGTTCGGCCAGGTGAGGAAGGCTGGCGTCGACCGTCCTCCGAGTGGACTAAAACGCAAAGCTAGCATTGACGATAGTGCGGCTTCGAAGAAATCGAAGGCAGCTGAGGGGGTGGGTCTTGGTATTGAAGCGTAGACTACTTAATGATTGTGTATACACGTGCATAATCTTTACTATGCTCCTTGCCTCGCGGGATCTCGCGGTAATCGACGCGACTGAACTCGCTATGACATCGCTTTCGATTCATTGCGATAGTCATGAAAGTTTCATTTTGTTTGCCTTCAGCTGCGCCTTTGATTTTGATTTACTCATTGCTCCCTTCAAGGGACATTCACGATTGATGACCTTTACAAGACTGACATGTGGAATTGGTGTTTTCTGGGGCGTCTCTTTCCGCTTCTGAAGCTTTTGTTGGTTTACAGTACGGCCACCGCTGCCTCTCCAGATTGCTTTTCGGACATCGGTGAAGTTTTTTTTTCCAAATGAAATATTAGCAAAACGGCCTGCATGGCAGGGACGACCTTGAACAACTGCTACTCATGTCTTGTAAATGTAAGAATAACTTTCCGACCTGCGTGGATTAGTAATTTGTAACAGACTGCAATACTTTCAATACGGAAGATGAACGTCAAGCACGACAAAGCATCTAACAACAGCAGCCACAGAGCTTCTATGTCATGATAAGACAATGAGCTAATTTACACCTAATAGAAGACTGATTCGAATTGAGCCTGGAGCCATGACAGTGATCGAACTGAGCTGGGATTCTGTGAAATCTTCGGTATTGAAAGTTACGTATCATGAAACCTTACCACATCCGGCAAGCAGGGTAGGGCTCGCTAAGCGAGGCGGTGCGGCTCTGCGCGGTTGGCCACACCAAAAAAGTTCCACCCAATATTGAACGACTCTTTGGAGTCTTGAGACACGACCAGCAACAACCCACGACGACGACGACAACCTCCCGGCTCTGATCTCCATCCGTCACAATGGTGCGTTATATTATCCTCGCTGTTTCGAATATACGAATAGATCGTTGAGAGATTTATTTCGATGGTCATAATGAGAAAGGGCTGGCATGCTGATTTGATTTTTTTGACGGTGATATAGGCGATCAAGCACAACAACCAACTCCAGAAGCACCGTGAGTGAGCCCTCATGAACCGCATTTTTACAAGACATGGAAATCCAGATTGTATCGCATTTTTTTTGGGAATTGATGGTCTGACGGAGATTTTGATATTAGACTTCCACAAGGACTGGCAGCGTCGTGTGCGCGTGCACTTCGACCAGGTACGAATCCGAATCCCATAGCCTTCCGAATTGCACCTTCAAGCGGACGACTGGACACTTTTGCAAAAATGCCCAACTCCGAACGGAGCGAACGAGAATTTCTTCGAGTGTTCATGGACTGACATTGGGTATTATAGCCTGGCCGCAAGCACCGCCGTCGTGAGGCCCGTCTCGCTAAGGCCGCCGCTGTTGCTCCTCGTCCGGTTGACAAGCTGCGTCCCGTTGTGCGCTGCCCTACCGTCAAGTACAACCGCCGTGTCCGTGTCGGCCGTGGTTTCACCCTTGCTGAGCTGAAGGTAAATTCATCCTCACTTTTCGTCCCACAGAGCGGGGAGTTGGCGGTGCTTGGTTTACCGCCCTAACTCGTATCCGCATGGGCTGGATTTGGATACAGGATTTGGACGAAGGCTCACAAAACTCTTTCAAACCAATAGGAAGCTGGTATCCCCAAGAAGCTCGCTCGCACGGTCGGTATCGCCGTTGACCACCGCCGTGTCAACTACTCCAAGGAGTCGCTCGTTGCCAATGTCGCTCGTCTCAAGGACTACAAGGCTCGCCTGATCCTTTTCCCCCGCAAGAGCGGTCAGTTCAAGAAGCTTGACTCGTCCGCCGACGAGGTCAACGCCGCCAAGGCTGCTTTCGCCGCCGAGGGCAAGACTGAGGGTTACACCACCAAGCTGGGCGCTATCTTCCCCATCAAGAACATCTCCGCCGCTGAGGCCGTCACCGAGGTCAAGCGCGATGAGCTGCCCAAGGGCGAAGAGGCCGCTTACCGCCGCCTGCGGGAGACCCGCAGCGAGGCCCGCTACAAGGGCATCCGGGAGAAGCGTGCCAAGGCCAAGGCTGAGGAGGAGTCTGCTGCTAAGAAATAAATGTGATTCTCAGCTAATGATGATCGGGTCGATTTTCAAGTCGGGGATTATTAGTGTATTGTGGCATGGCGTGGCTTCCCTTTTCTCTCTTCACCTTTGTCCTTAAAAAAGCTCCCAACCTCTCGAAATGCAAATGTCCCACTTTCATGTTCACAGACCGGTCCTCCCTGCGAAGTTATCGATCAACTTAATGAAATACCTTTCAGGACGCGTCTGCTGGCTCTGCTTTTCGTTCCATGGAGCGCTTGGGTAGATTTTGCCGATCATACCAGGGACAGGCAGCTTGGGCACCCTTCTGTGCTGCTCCACCTAAATACTCATGCTACATTTAGAACGAGTTTCTCAATGCATGGACGTGCAAGAGGAGGTAGAGGAGATTTGGCAATTGCATGGCATATATACACAAGTGTCTCATACAAGTGTCCACAGGCTTTTACTCATGGTATCTTGTAGTGTTTCCAGGATTTATAAATCCGCAAAAGTACAAGTACTCTGGACGTAACGTAAACCATAAGAAACAGTGTCGCATGCTTGGCCGGGTATAAAAAAGTTATCAACACATCCATGTCCAAGAAGTAGCCAATATCCAAAACTCCGATCACGGCGCCTGCTTCATCTCCAACTCAACCTTCCGTGCCATTTACATCATCTATCATAGGAGAGAGGGCGAGAAACCGCGATATTACAGGAGCCGGCAGAATCACCCCAATCTTCCATTAAGCATGCACTTTTGACAGCTTTCCGCCGGCTTCAACGCCGAATAAAGCATTTAGGACGCACTCGGCAGCTCGAATGATAACATCGGCCTCAGTTTCAATTGCGCCCTGCTGACATCTGGAGTCCCTCAGTACCTCCCGGAGGAGCTTCTTGGTCTCTTGTTCGATCTTTCTGCAAGATGTGCCACTACTCGTTGATCTCGACGCGATGCTGATATCGGGCGTCAGTTTAGGTTCGCTTGACCATTCGTCCATGCTCAGGTCGCACGAAAGGAGTAATTTCATCCTAGTTTCCTTGGATTCGAAAAGCATCGTGCTGCGCTTGAGGTGTGGCAGCAGTCGGCGCGGATTCGACCTATCATCTTGTCCCTGTTGTGTGCTGTTCTTTCCAGGAGCGCCAACCCCCAACGCAGGCCGGCCAAGCAGGTTTGCGTGACGGTTCTCGATTTCGGACCATACGAGAGCACGAGACAGCATTGTTTCCCAATACTGACTGATGCCCTGACAGAGGCCTGTTATGTCTATTTTCAGGAGCGGATTGGACAGCCTTGAATCGATCCATCGTCTCAGCGATGTAGGGATTTTTGTTACGGAAGTTCCAAGACTCGTCGGGACTGATATTGAGGTCAAGCACTGTAATTCGGTGTTCGTTTCGTAAATGACGGGTATACTGTAGATGCTGGATGGAAATGGGGCTGGAGCGGTCAGTGTCAAGTGATGTCTTTCAAGAAGGGTATCGTTCTTTAAGTCGGAGGTAGTGTTCGAATGCGCGGTTAAGTTCAACGGTGCAAATACTGTCAAGTATGGCTTTGCGCGAGCAGATACTGCGAGGGCAAACTGATTCGTAGGGGTGGGGGACTGCTGTATTGACGGCGCGAACTTTGTGGTGAAAGGTAATAGGGTGGATAATAAGGACGATATCGACGGATCGGCGGCAGGGCGCTTCGCGTTTTTGCTGGCCGGATCTTCGGCTACTAATATAGAGCTTGTTCCGAAATCAGTCGGTTGGTTGATGCGATCAGAGCACCAAACAAAACTTACATGAGTCTGTCCAAGTCGTGGTCCGGTTCCATGGTCTCATGTTGTCGGCCGAACCTCTCTGACCAGCTCTCCAATTCCGCGATGTCCTCCTTGAGCTTTCTCAAGTCGGCAGAGAGCTCTCTCTTGAGTTTTTGTTTCTTCAAAACAGGTTCTGGAAGAGATTCTTTCGATACAATGACGCCGAGTCCTGATAGGTCACCTGTTTGTGACCCATAATCAACCCTCCTGAGCTTCGAAGGGCTTTTCTCTAGTAAATCACCAGTTCGCCGCGCTCGGAATCTCTCAAGCTGCGTGCTGGGGCTGCTGCTCAAAAGTCCTCTTGGTCTCTCGGGGGGATTTTCCAAGCCTAATTGAGTCGGCGTGGGGGGAAGGTCCGGTTCCTCGAATTCTTCATGCAAAGACGGCTGCTCAGAATCAATGCTCACATTGACTTCTCCTGTCGCGCTGCCAAGTTCAGACGCTAGTTGATCTTCCGGGGTGTTTATAGGTTCCGGATTTGTCGCAGTATTCGGTAAGTTTGCTGGAGACCCGAAGACGAAGTCTGCAGGAGTGATTTTTCTGGACACTCGTCTTGGGGGTGCAGCAAATGCTTGAATTCCACTCGACCGTCGGGTTGAGAACGGCGAGCGCGCATCTCCGGCTTGTCGCGCAGTACGTACAGGGCTTGCAGTCGACGCCAACGACGGTCGAAAAGCCTTTCTATCCCGTAGCCCAAATACTCCCGCCTCCGCCTGCTTCTGTTGATCATCCTGATTCCGGTCCTTCCCGGGTGATTTATTATGAGGGCGTTCCAAGATCTCAGGATGTGATCTTGCCAGACTCGCCTTTGTTGGTGCTTGAAAGGTAGGAATCCTCGAAGGGCGCGTTCGAGCGTCATCCCTGACGGTTTGTGAACTCATTTGCGACGCGTCGCAAGCGGTAGTAATTGTTGACCGGAGTGATTAGCGCCGCTGGCACAGTTCGCAACTAGGCATCCAAATGGTGTAAATGGCTTATTTCAATAGATCTGTCAGTCATACAATAGAAGCGACTGCTGCCTCGAGCCTTAATGGCAGGAACCTGGTTTCAACATCGTGCAGTATGTGTTCCGCGATACGCATACATGGTTAAACAGACATTGCCGCGGAATCGGGATAGCTGCGGGCTGTTTGCATTGTTTGCCTAATGACATAAGTTGGTCGTTTTCCGTGGCCTTCGGAAGTTCTTCACATTTAATTCTGGGACTCAAGAATGGAGTGCTTCTCCATGTATATTACGCAGTCGATCCTTCGATGTAAAATCCGTCCATTGTGCTTTGGGCACGTTCGGGTTACGAACAAGCTTTCTTTACCTCTCGGGCCAACCTCATCACTGACAAGGCAATATGCCTTCACTGCGACTTCCCACCACGGGACCGCCCACGATGATACCCTGGCAAGCTTAGAAGATTCAACACGCTCGCAGGCGCATCCGTTATCGGGCTACTACTACGATATCCTCTCATCCAAATCACCCTACAGATCTCATGCGCCGACTTCGCGCCCTGCCGCCGAGAAACCAACCCCGGCAACAACCGTCAAACCCCAGTCACCAGAAGAAAAGATGTCCATCGTCTTCGGATCGCGACTTGCTGGGCCAGGCCGTGCTTCGCGTTACAACCCCGGAACTATGCCACCCGAGTCTCAATGGAAGATGATCAACGGGGTGGCCATTCCGCCCCGGCCCGAGGAACCGGACAATTGCTGCATGAGTGGTTGTGTCCATTGCGTGTGGGATGATTACCGCGATGAAATGGAGGAATGGGCCAGTCGTGTAGAAAGGGCCAAGGCGAAGGGCACTACCCAGAAGGCCACGGCGGATATGCGACAGACGCCGAGGGCAGAGGTTGACAGTGCGAGTCGTAGCATGGATGACGACGGCGGAGGTAGCGAGACTAACTGGCCAGTATCTCACGAGGCAGATGATCTCTTTGCCAATATACCAGTTGGTATTCGCGAATTCATGAAGACGGAGAAGAAACTAAAGGAAAAGCAACAACATGAGAAAAATAAAGCGTCAATTTGAGCTTCTGCGAGATTGGATTATGCCTTGCGGGAAATGATTGATGTAACGAAGGGTATATAGTCTACATCCCCTCAGTGTTGTACATAGTATTTTGACCCTGATATAGACTAGAGTATCTAGAGATGTACATAGATTCATTTTGTGGATTGATGCGCTGAGATTCGAAAACAAACCTGCTGCCGCCAGTACCACAGTGGTCACAGCAATTATTATACTGACCATCTGCCAGCAGTGCATTCGTCACTATGAACAGCGAATGACAGTATATCATCAACTAAGAGGCCCATACTCGTCATTTTATCTTAGCCATATCAGATCCTCCTTACCAAAGCAGGCGGTGAACTTTCTGCCAGATTATTCCGCCCTGCTATCGCAAAAAGTTCCAAGTCCGGTGGTGATCTTTGATAATCAACTCAACCAATCGTTACATATAACATACATTGAACAACATGTCAATATCGAAAACCGAAACGGACATCATCCTCAACAAAGCCAATGTCGCATTAGCGCGCAGTCAGCGTCTAGTAGCCTCCTGGCTCCCTCCGCCGACAGACGAAGAAAAGGCCCGTGTCAAAACAGAAGAAGAGCTGCAGCGAGAGGAAGATGAGATCTTCACTGCTGTTCCGGAGACGTATGTTCTTCTTTTTCCATGTTTGATGTCAATGTCTATTTCCACGCATACTGACAGTCCCGAAACAGACTAGGAGTCGGCGCGCCCCTCCCCGAGAAAGCCGCTGACGGGAGCTGGAACCGGACCGAATTGGATTCCAACGATAAGCTCCGGAAACAACTCCTGGGGAAAAACTACAAGAAGGTCATGGCTGCTTTCGCTGGTGTAAAATCGGGCAAGCCGGTGGGCCAAAATGGAGTACCCGCTGGGAATGCGGCGGCTTCCTCGGCGGCTGGGACGGGAGATGCGGATGATGACAATGACGATGAGGAAGGACGAACGGCGGTGGTAGGAAGGAAAGGCGACCTTCGGAGGAAAGCGGTGGGTTCGGCACGGAAAAGAAAAGTTACGACTGATATCGCAGAGGACGATGGCATTGGCCCTAGTGGCGCTGGTGAGATCAAGGGTGGTGATAGCGAAGACACCGCAGCGAAGCACGAGGGCCCGTTGTCGCGGCCAGCGCCAGGGCCGAGAAGTCGGAAGAAAGCCACAAGTTTTTTGGATGATATACTCGCCGATCGGTCGAAAAAGAGGAAGAAGCGATGATGTTGGTCGTCAGGAACCTCACCCAATCTTTCACTTGTACAACATGATACCCAGTTATCCGTTGAAATATTGAGTTTGATAGACAGCAATTCACAATTCACGTGAATACAGCAAATCCTTTTTGTGGACCTTCTCGATATCGTGATTGACCTCATTCTTATAGTTCGCCATACTCTCGAATTAGTCTCACCAGTTCCTGACCAACATCCGAGAGACGGGCAAGGCTGCAGACAATATTCTGTCACAGAGTCCATGCACAAGTGACATAATTGCATTAGATTGTAGACTCCTATTGTAGATCTAGCTTGTGCTCAACAATAAACATGGTCTGCCACACCCAGCCCCAGGGTATATAGTATGATATGTGGAAACCGAACCCGCCTATTCCAAGTTCCCAGTAAGTGCAAACACCAATACTGTGGCAAGAAGGCAGTCACCATCGATCTGCATGGTCAGGTATGATATCAACAGAAACGGACATAGAACGACTTCCAGCAGTATGCTGCGAAAGGTGGGAGTGCGCCCTCCAAATTAGGCATAGAAGACAAAACAAAGCGTGGTCTCCAACTGTCCTGGAAAACCCGCACTTTTCCTGGAGAGACTGTACAAGTTATAAGGGATGAAAGAAAAAGAAGATCAAAGAACGGGGGTGAGATTCCAATGTGATCAGAACATGTGGCAGTGATAGATTGCTCAAATATGCAGAGGGTGCTTCTTCAAGAGGTTTGCGCGTATCGCTGTTGCTGCAAGACGAGAACACATCCTGATGTTCTCATGCTCAATGTATGACTTGCGCCTTACATTGGCGGTTCGGTTAGATATTGCAATTGAGCGCGTATACCAGTCTCACGCCTTTTTCTTTCTCTTTTCTTTTCTTTTCTTTTTTTTTTATTCTAACCGCTTTCGTTTCCGATCTTCAAGGTTGTTATGCTGATCCTCTTCAGGACGTTCCGCTGTATCAGCGGGGTTGAGGAGCGAGTGGACGTTGCTGGCCATGCTGGATCGTCTGGTGGCAGGAAGCGAGGATTCATGCCTAGCATACTTCGATCCACCATATGTCCATGCGTTGTCCACAGTTAGAGTGGATGACGGCTGGTCCGGATTCAAAGGCGGCGTAGCATGTCGCGAACTGCTTTGAAACCGCCGCGGCACTCCCATCTCATACTGAGCCAGCACATCTCGAACCTGCTGCTCACTAGAAGTCGGTGTACGATGGGGTGAGGGTGGCCAAGGTGTGACTGGAGCGCCTTGTGCATTAGCAGGGGGAAACTGGGAAACGTTCGGCGGTGGCCAGCCATGCTGACGGATGTCTGCCGAAGTGTGTCGACGAGCAAGATTGGGCCCCGGCGGAGAAGATACCGAAGACAGAGGATGAGGCATCGGCTGTTGAGGTGGGACTACAGAGGGCACCTGCGGCCGATTGTAGTTCGGGGACGAATTTCCCCCACCAATTGAGCCATACCGGCGAGGAGAGACAGCAAGATGCGGGGGCACGGGTGGCCGGATTATGTTATGCCTAGACGTATCCATCATCGATGGTCGACGGCTATCGTCTTGGGGCACCTGGCGTGGGGAAAGAGGCGGCCCGGGATCAACCGACACATTGGCAAAAAAGGGTGGCCTGACAGATAAATATGGGTCCGGAGGATTTTCGAGGGCTCGCACGACGTCGAGATGTTTCTCTATCTCTTTCTGCATGCTGGACACTGTGATGAGTTAGCGAATGTGGTCATGGTAATGTTGTTTTTTGGTAATGATGCTCACCATCCCGGTACAGAGGACTGTCCCTATCAGGAATCGTTCCTTGTAGGAATTGAGAAATCGAATACGCCCACTGAGATCCCGTCAGTGTTTCAGTGTCAGACATAGCAGGCGCCTCGATGAAACTCAAAAGGGTCAACGAACATGATAACATCTGGCCAAACTCTCCGCCATGGCTTGACATCTTAAGTTGAGAGCTGAATGTGCCTCTTCAGCGCGACTTAAACGGTTATGCATGTCATACAGCGAATGTTCCAAATTGAGCAATCGCGCTTCAGTCGCATCTGGGACGGGCTCGGCCGGTGTGCCAGGTTGAGAAATAGCGGTCTTGTGGCCGGGAAATGAGTCGCGATGAATCAAGGCATGTCGTGATGCTCGGCGCTTGATTTCGCGCAACCCTACGAGGTCGCCCCGTTTAAAATTCCCATTCCCGTGTTTGAACTCCCATAATGCAGAGTCTGGAGAGCCGGTGTGAAAGACATCGCTCACTATAAGAAGATGCAAAGGGTCAGCGAAAGTACGAACACATTCACACCCCCTTCAAAAATCGTATACCTTTATGAAAACCGTACATATTGAGCTGTCGAACGAAAGACGAGATATTAGTGTGCTTGAAATATTGACTAAAAAGGCAAATATCAGCAATCAGGCTACAATATGCGAAGCCCTTTCAAGGGGAGGAACTGACGCGAGAACTTTTGAGAACTCGGATGTTGGCGACATGACAAAGCTGTCGTTGGTGCTCGACCACGATATCAGATGTTGAATACTAGGATCTTCTAGCATACTGTTTAAGTGGCATCAGCAAGGGCTCACATGATGTATGTCAAAGGTGCAGATGGTAAGTATAAGACAAGGGTTTAAGACATCCGTGAGAGCGAACGGAATCTGAGCAAACATACTTGTACAGTTTATGAATGAAAGCAGTCTGAACGACTTTTGGCTGCTGGGCTGCGGCTGCAGCCCCGATTGCTTGATTTGACATTGGAGTATTGTTCATGTTTCCAGTTTCGACCGAACCATTGGAATTCGCGGTGTTTGCGCCCGCCTGATCGCTGTCCGGACTGCTGTGGGCGGGCGGCGCAGGACCTGTCGTCGTAGAGGCAGGTGGAGTGACTTCCATGGAGTCACCTGTCGACTGAGCAGAGGATGGAATAGAGGAGGGAAGGACGGGGAGCTTTCGTGTCTTGCCTGGCGCATCTGCAGAACCGGCAGTAAAAGTATTTCGAGACGGAGAATCGGCGAGGCTGCTCATCTCGCGCGAAAGGAACGAGGACGGCCGAGCCGCAGAGGGGAGGAAGCAAGCCTGCGCAGAGCGGATCTTGGAAGAAACCACCTGGACTGAAAATGCGAAGGGTCAACGAAGAGATGCAGCGATCACGTAGTGCCTTTTTTCCTCTCTTCCAGGTGTCGGCGGCTCGTGGAGGACTGGAGAACGTGGGAAAGTGGATACAAAGAATCACAGAGCCTGGGCCAAGAAGGCGCTGATCAATACCATAGAGTCTCCGCTTCTAGAGTCATTGTGAAGCGAAGATCTCCTGTAGATAGAATGTGACTTCGATGTCTCTTTCCTTTTTTTCCTTTTTCTTCTCCTTCTCGCGCGTCGATTTACCAAACAGCGGCTGTTCAAGATTTTTGTCGCCCACCAGACTCAACGGGTGTGAAGAGTCTTAGACCAGTCCAAAGCTCCTCTTTGCCCCTTTGTTCTCCACTCGTTCCAATCTAGTCTCGGAAAGAGGTGCCAACATGAAATCGACGAGGGGCGAGAGGGACGAGCCGTGGAAGGGCAGGAATGTGTCGCGGATGAGGCGCGTTAAAAGATCGGATCTGCAGATAACCAGATAGCTGCTAGTACCTAGTAGTTGAAGCTGACTATCATGGGTCCAGTTTCTGACACCCGGTCTAGGAGCTCGGGAAATGACCAACGGAGGCACGGGAACAGCCGATTTGTAGGCTCCTTGTCGTTCAAATGCACGATTGCTTTTCTTTTTCTTCACCTCTTCCCCTTTTCGTTTCTGCTCTA